AACTCCAACTTTAGACTATGTTTTTAGACTTGACTTGACCAACTTCATGCCTGTTCCGTACGGTACCATACCAATCACATTCATCCGAGTCTGAGTCCGTCAAGATTCTGGCTAATGTCATAATGTCCATTGATAAAGAGGTATAGATAGGTACATAGGTAGATAGGCAGGTAGATACTTTTTATGCTACTATATATATATACATTTGTGATAGATGATAGTATAGACTGCAGTCCCAATACATGATAGAAACAAAGCAGCCTTGGCAGCCTTGGCCAGGTGGAACCCAAGCAGTGTAGCTTGAAGCAGCTCATTGATGGGAAAAAGTGAGGGGATCGATCCTGATCTGAATGGCATGAAGGGTCATGCCATTTCACAAGTCTTGGTTACTAGCACTAGCAGTGACGTTTTCTGGTGCCCTATCTGTCTGAATCTTTTTGTTTTTATAAACACTGGTCACTGGTCAGGCCGCAAACATATGTATATACCGTGATTTCCACCACCAGTTGGGGGCACCACTGTAACAGGCTGCGTGGGGACACACAATGTATACAGAACAGTGCACAAAGCTGTGATGTGTACTTGTGTCGGGCACTGTGCACTGTGCCCACTTTGTTCTTGAACAATAGTCAATAGTCAGTGTGGAACAATGCGGTGTGGAAGTACAGGTGACCCAGAAGTCACAACGGCCTTTTGTCGGCTAATCCACTAACCGCTAAGCACACACAGCAAAGACCTTGATACCTTCACCTTGGGTGGTGACTTGACGTGGTGATTGAAAAAAGCAGCAGCTGGCGGCTGGCAGTGGTGCTTCTGAACAAAGGAGGAGAAGGTGTGGCCAGGTGCAGGGCTGGTGTTTTTGATTGAATGATGCCTCAGGCCTCAGCCCGCTGCCCGCAATGCTTCTGTGTTGGAGTTTGCGCTGTGTATTGTTAAGTTATTGTTTTTGGGTGGCACAGGGTTGAGGGTCATTGAAACCCAACTAATCCAGAAAAAAACAAAAAGCTTTAGCGCAAAACACTTAGCAGTGAATGCCACCCAGTTAACAATTCCTTCATTTTTGTCATGAATCTCCTGTTCCCACTACTTTGGCCAAATATAGTTTTTTTTTCAAATGAACCTGGATATATAGACCAAGGGTTGTGCAAGTCCATAGCTGTCACCTGATAAATGTACTGCTGAAAGACAATGGACAAGCGCAACAAGCAGGCTGTTCCGTGACAAACGCCACGATCCAGAGTCTCCAGCTCTCAAGGTTGGGATACTATGCGTGGAAACCCTTGGTGATCTGCAAAGCGCTATCACAGGTTGAGCCTGGTTCTATGCTTTTGTTCATGGATGCCAATTTGCAGAAGTATCAGGAAGGGATGCAAGATGTACTGGGTGTGTATGTTTGAATGCCAATAGTTTGGCCATTCTTAGGTGACGCCAGACAAAGCAGACACAGAAGTGGGAAGAATGGGCCTTTGGGTATCAACATGTTTTTATACGCGTAGAAGGCATGGACCAGTGGTGGCAAAGCCAGACCACAAAGCTTCGAGGTTGAGAGTCAGACTCCTTTGAGCAACTCCTTGATGTGAATCGAGCCGGCAACGGAACCCAGTTTCACAGAGAAACACGGCCGATGAGAAAATTGACGTTTTTTTTCCCGCATTGACGTGTTTTTCCGCCTATGACCGCCTTGCCAATGGAGAAGTTAAACACCGTGCATAGAAAAGCATTTCACTTTTCCCTAGAACTGTAAGTTAGTATCTTGTTTTCTGTGAAAACATAAAGAGTCAAAAGGGACAACAAAGTTCTGCACCGGTCAGGCAAGATGTCGTGGTGAGAAACGATTATATAATCCACCTGGCCGGGCAGCATGCAGACGAAGAAGAACTCTAGTACTGTATGGTCCACCTCGTGTGGAATGTTTTTAAGAGCCTGCTTCACCATACAAGGCAAAACTTGCTTGTATCACTGCATTGCAGAATGGCAAGGCAACTCCCCATAATATGTATGAACACTGGAAAACGATAAAACAACGACAGAGCGAAGAGTCCCAAAAAAGGATAATGCAAAACGTCACATAGTAAAAGCTAGCTAGTGTAATTTTCAGACCTGAGTTGGACACTAATCCCTGGAGGACTACCAAGAAGGCTTGCATGATTTGCTGAAGACCTGTCGCAAGCTGTTGGAGCGAACGGACTTCTTCGTGCCCTTGGAAGATCCCATGTGGAAGCGAATTCAGAAGCTGAGCACAGGAATGAACTTATTAGGTTGGAGGCCACCGCTACTAGGGTGGAGGCCATCGCTACAGGAGCCAACTCGCAAGTTCAAGTGTTGATGGAAGGTGTCCGGCACCACCTATGCCCTATGCCCAATATATACACTGCCAATGCAGTGGTTACCTTACCTGAGGTGGTTTCAGGACTTCTTCATCCAGCAGTAATGGAAGAATGTTGCTGTTAGATGCCACTCAGGAATCATTCCAAGTCCTTGACACTGGAGCTCATGGATGCATGCACTTACAACATTGCTTTTGCACCCTGTGCCATGCCTGTATCATGAAGTGCGTGTGACAGATTGGGGTTGGACGATGCTTTTGCGATCTTTTGTTGCTTCATCTCAAACACACTGTAATTTGATGTAATTTGCAGACGTGTCAAGCTGCTACTTGCTTGTATCATGACACCCCGCTTTGTGCTGAGATCCCCTTTGATTTTGAGTGTGGGCTGAAACTCGTTTGGCATTCCGAGTGTTTCGTCCGATGCCAAGAGCCGCGAGCGCATTGCCTACGCGCCGAGGTATTTGTGTGAATCGAATTCTGATGCGGCGCACAGCCATGGTTGAGCGATTGGTTCATGAATGGCTTCATTGGTGTGGGCAGAGCCAGGTCCTTTTCCTTTAGACTTTAGAGCTTTAGGGGTGTATGCACTTTGGATGTTTGACAAATCTATAATATGCTTGAGGGAGAGGGCACTTTCAGAGCTTGAACCAGCCAGCTGGTCCCAATCTACTGAAGGTTCTTTGTATGATACGATTAATTATGCTATATGTGATTATGCAATTCGCTCCTTAATCCTTGTGGCAGTCCTCAGGTGATTTGCCCACTTCCAAATCCCAAGCCGCATCCGCTTTGCCTTTTTCATACTCCGGAACAAGCGATCTTGGCCATCCTGGTCCGAAAGCGTGTTTTGCAGAAGGAGTTTCCTTCTGGTTGGCCATTCTACAGTTATGCCCCTTGCCTGTGTTCTCCAAACAAACTCCGCAAGGTAAAGCTTTTTGTGGTTTATCTAGACCTGTAAGAAGCCGGCCTTGTAGATAGGAGATCAGCACTAGACACTGGAGGACGAACGTTCTGATAGCATTCAAGCGACACTGACATTTCCATAAGGCTCCAGACTCTCGCGTCTTTCACCTGGACTTTCTTGAAGATTGGCCAATGACATTCTTGATGAGATGTTATCGTCGGCTGACCGCTGCAATCTTCTTCGTGAAGCATGCAGTCATGGCCTTTCGAAGCTCCACAGGTTTGGAACCACTTTTTCATACTTTTTGATGCAGGTTGGAGGCCATCGCTTTTCGGTTGGAGGCCATCGCTGTTATAGGTTGGAGGCCATCGCCATTAATTAGGTTGGAGGCCATTCCTAGTAGGGTTGTTTTGACCCCTGGATGACCACTCCCATTCAACCCCACCACTGGTGTGAGAAATGGACTTGCGGCCTGACAGTGTTTAAGGAAAGACGTTGCCATAGCAACTTCATTTGGCATGTTGATGCTAGCGGGGTAACAAACACCCTTTTTCAGCAAATCATGAACACCCCTTCCCATGTTGTTGCATTCCTCATTCATGTCGGCACCTTCGATATGTGTTGCTTCGGAATTTGTGTCGCCGTTCTGTAAACAGTCAGTCACAATGATTTATTGTTAAACCTTAATTTTGTTGTTCTCTACCACTTGACACACACTTGCCCGTTCGAGCATTTTGGTGCGAGGGAGGCTTGGGGGGAGTTGGGTGGTTGGGGATCGGGTAATGGATTCTTTTCGGAAAGGTTGATGCAGCGACGTTGTTTACACATACAGGTTTTTGCATTTGTTTCCAAGATGACACGCAAGCTCACTCTCAACAAGAACACGAAAACGCAGGTGTGGTGTGGTTGTTCACCTGGCGGGATGTTAATGTTACTTTTCAATTTAGATATAGAGTCCGTGAGATGTTAGGGGATGGACGTGTAGTTTGATGTAAACCGCAACATGTCCATAATTGTATTGACTATGAAGTGGGTTGCGAGCTGAGATGTGGTCAGCAGGCCAGCCAATGCAAGCCATCAGCTCAACTTTCTTCAAAATATATTCAGTCAGTATTCCTGTAAACGTGAATGGGTTGGTCCCTGCCGACGATGGAACCACGGAAACCATGGAACCTGATGCGAGAAAGGGTGTCACACCATGCCTAAGGATATCCCATTGATCATCCATTCTGGAAGCAGTTTGAGCGAGCTACGCCAGTCTATTTGCTGAAGTTTGCTTTCCGTGGCTTTCTGATGTCCTTGATGCCCTTGCCGAAGGACCCATAAGCGATGATAGATTAGCCACGAGCCCGCTTCTCCCTCTCTCTCTATATGTATATGCACTTACATACAGACGCACATATATAGCGTCTTCACATATGTGTGATTGGGCCGGCAAGGAGCAACCATTTCTTGAATAACTACATAGCTTTCGGAAGGGCCCAACGCGGCCGCCCACGAGGGGCCGGTTGGCTGCGACGCAGCAGGGCCCGAAGGTTGCGCCGAACGTGTCTCAAGTTGTGCCAAAGACTGACGTCTTAAGTGATGTCAGCACTGCAAGAGCCTCAAGGAAAGTGCAACATGGAAACATGTGTGCATGCGGTCGATGGTGGTGTTCGGGGACCATCTGGCATCGGATCGACTCAAGTCGTATATTCAAGATTATTGATTTATTTTTTCCTATCCGAGTCTTTCTAGTTGAGTTTGATGTGATGCATTGCTTGTCAGGTTTGGCCGCACATGTTTGACACCGAGGGCTTTTTCTTAGCAGCTTTCCAGAAGGCCTGAGCGTGGTCGGAGTCCGCCGAGACACTGTGCATGCAGAGGAAGCACGCCTGGATACCATATGACAGAAAGACTTGGACTTTCCTTCGTCAGCTCGAGACCGGATTTCTCACCTGCATCTTTACCTTGCCTGACCAGATGCAGTAGTTTCACTGACGCCATTTTACACCAACGGACCTTGATTAGGTTGATGAATCGGTTCCAAGAATATTGAACCAAAAGAGGATTGTGGGCCATTGTGGGCTTTGTTGACCTTGATTCAGGAGCAAGCCCATGCTGCCGAGATGGTCAGACCGTCATACGGACATGCTTCGGCACCTCCACAGTGGTTGCTTAAAGCCTGTCTCCAGACAATTGTTTTTTTCCAACATGGCGATACAGGGGTCTCAGAGCATCGTCAGAACATTTGAGTAGCTCAAGTTGCATTCCAATTCGATGGGAGCTCTTTCACTCCTGACCACTCATGCCTCTGCCAGGCCTTCTCCACGTGCATCTGTGCGGTGTAAGGAGGGATCTTGAATGCGCGGGTGGAAGTGGAAGGAAGTCGCTGAGCTCAATCACCTACTAAAAATTCGCTAAAAGCTGGGACATACACATGGTCGTGCATTGCATTGAGCTTTCAAAAACATATTTTACGGTTTCATGGGCTTAGCTAAAGATAGCCTAGCTGTCTAGCCGTCATGTGAGGTGCCCACCCTTTTGTGGAGGAGCTTTTGAGCCCTTGGCCGCGGCTGCTTCAACAATGTGGAGATCGCTTCATCGAGAAGGATGGGACAGCTGTAGCTCAAGCCACCTGAAGCGTTGATTTGTCGAAATCTTCATTGGAAGGACGAAGGCATCTATTCGATGCCGGACTGTGGCCACCTTAGCGGAAAGATTCGGGAGTCCTATCGTTGGGCATCGTCCACACATTTGACCTGGCATGAATGAGTCAAGACCATTGCTCCTAGTAGCGATGCCCATTGCTCCTAGTAGCGATGCCCTTTGCTCCTAGTAACTCCTAGTAGCTTCGTGTTCCTAGTAGTAAGGCCTGGAGCTACTAGGCCCATGTGTAGCTGTCGGACACCTCATGGGCCCCTTGGAATGGCCGCTATTGCTTAAGTGTATGTATAAGATTTTATAAGTTGAAATAGCCGTGTATGATCGTGTATGTGTAAGTAAACTACAGACAACCAAGATAGGAGAAATGATCAACTATTTTAAATAGAAGGCGGCAGTTTAGTCAGGGAGCTATATATATATATATAGTTTAAGGCTTGGTCCAAGTTGACCGAGGTCAACGCTTGCCAAAGCTGATGCAGCTGGCGGAGGCCACAATCATTTTGCCGTCACAAGATGAGCAATTTCTGGGTGAACATCTCAATTTTTGTACCGGGACTAAAAAATGTTTGCTCCTTTTTCTCCTCGTCTCCAAGAAGTGCTGTTGTGACAGTTCTTCGACCACTTTCTTCAGGAAGAAGGTGTGTTGCTGCTGCGACGTGATGGTGATGAATTCTATTTGACCGATGAGGCGCCACCACAAAAAGGTTGCGCCTGGCATTCTTCGTGAGCAGTTATGTAAGGCTTTTCCAAGGACACGCAAAGTATAGTTACAGTAAGTTGCTCCTCACCAGATTCAGTCGCACATTCCCAGTGTTAAGATGACATTCAGCAAATCTACGCTCCAGTTGCATCCGTTGGCATTTGAAGGCAAGGTTGTCTGGTCGAGGCCTAGGCCGAGGCTATTGCTATTCCATGCTATTCCTCCTGGCCGAGGCCATTCTCCTTGGTGGCCGTGAGTTGTGGATCCCAGTGTCCGGATTGAGGGAGGCACTGGAGTTCGCTGAAGTTCAATCACTGATGTCCAATTAAGTACCTGTCCAATGACGATTTGGAATTCTCGCCTCGTGATCCAGAGAAAAAAAACACACAAGGAACGAAGAAGCTACATTGGAGTTTTGTGAATCTTATGTCACTAGTTCAGTTAGGAGGTGTCCTTTTTACGTTCTTTGAATCGGTGACACCGACACCAACGACCCACTGAGGATGGGTCCTCAAGACGATGCTGCTTGGTGGCTGCTTGGCAGAGTGTGTTGAGTAGGGCAACAAGTGCAAATCATTTGTCTTTATCATATCGTTTAAGAGAAAACATTTTTTAGATGTTTTTAGTTGGTCTTATATTTTTGTGGGTGGTGATGGTGGTAATCTTTTAAGCAACTTCCTAGCACATGTCAAGAGCTGGTCGTGGAAGCAACATGTGCACTTGTAGTTTCTATACTGAACATTGGACGCGGCAATGCAACGGCTCGTGATGGTCGTGAATGCGCGCTTTGAAAATCAGAATGTCCGTTTCGCATTTGTTGGCCTCTTTTCAGCCCTGACAGGTAGTGCTGGGCCAGTTTGGTTAGAAGTGCAAGGAAGATCTAAAGAGTCTCAAGAGTTACATACAGGGAACTATTCTCCAAACTCTCAATCATCCAGAAGAACCTCCCTTATTGGACTGTGAAAGGCATGTCCTGCGGTATGCCGTGCAAATCCAAGTGTGGTGTTCAGCAGCTTTTTGAGGCTGAACCTATCATCTGGTCTAGAGGTTGGCGGCGGGAGCTTGCTTGAAAATGCAGGGCCCGGGAGGAGGGCCTTCCCCAACCCAATGCTTTTCACGTGGATGTTCTTTGCGAGGATGCTGAGACCTGGCTGTTAGGGCATCATTTGAAGTTTCAAGGCATTGTTGGTTTGGGGAATGGTTAGCTCTATGCTGTCAAGTTGAGGGAAGCTGCCAACTATTCGGTGGTGCTTGGGTTTGATATGGCACGTTGTGAATACATGCGATCAATTTCAGACCCATCTAGTTGCGTGACATACAGTATATTTTGCAGAAGTGGCCCCGAGCCAATTCTTGCCTTTAGCATCTGAACGACCCCTCACATTGGTGCATGATATTTTTTCATTTTGCGGCTGTTCTGTGCACCAGTGACAAGTGGAACAAGTTCCTTCTAATGGATTCATCCATGAGCCACAACAACTTCGCCCTACCAACCTCACTGTGCAACAAAGATTGATATTCTCATTCCCAGCGGCGAGCCTGCCAGGGAAACCTGGGAGGCTTCAATGCGCAGATCGATGCCCGGGCCGAGTTGGGCGACGTTCGAGGCGCGTTTGCTCTTGTCAAGGCACAGATATATTGTTTCTACTATATAGTAGTAATGGCATCCAACCCAATACTCGTAGCGGTGGCCTCCAAGCTAATAGCAATGGCCTCCAACCTACTAGCGATGAATGCTATATACATTCGCTGGCCTCTGCTTTCACAAGGGTCTCGACGGTCTCAAAGGACCTTTTCTCCTGCATTTGTTCATGTAGTTGGACTCAGTGACCCTCCAAAGATTCTTCTTTGTACATAAGACGATTAGACCTGGAAGGTGCAGAGGAAGCCAGGCACCCAGAAGCCGGCAGACACGGACAGTCGCGGGAGCACAAGTGTTTGAGGTATCAACTCGGTAGCTTGCATATCCTGGAGGAGGCAATCCAGTTTCTGTGCAGAAGCTACCATATCCTGTTTTGACACTTGGATACTCCAGGGCACTTGACTAGTGGTTCAACAGTAGTTACTGCACCTGTGTCTCAGGTGATGTCCCATATCCTTAAGCGAGGCCAGCTTCCCAACATATCTCAAACTGTGTGCCATTCGATGCCGTGACGTTTTGGCTACAAGCCCCTGGTTGAAGTTGCAACTTGATGGGCACGCCGTGTTTGTCTGATGAATTTGGTTGCAGATTCTTGGAGGTCTTCACCCAGATGTTGTCACCTACACCACCTTGATAAAGGCCTCCGACTGCCAGACTGCCACAAAATAGCAATGTCAGCACTTCACTTCCTTGAAGCAGCGCTGTTTTCCACAATCTGCTGTGATGGAAACAAGTTCCGGACGAACTCACAGTCTTGCAGTCTTGAATGAGTTTTTTCCAATATCACTATGTGAATCCTTGCTTGCGATCCCCGTTCTTGTTGTTTGATCGCTTGGGCCAGGCCTACGGCCGGGAGTCCTCGATGTCCTCAGCACAAAAGGCGGTGAAGATCCTGGAAGATGCACGGGAGGCAGGCAGGTCCCCTTTTTTGGCTGTGGATGGTGGTTTGATATGATTTTTCACATCTCTGGTTATATAGCTCCTGGAGTTGTTACATCTCTCTATGCCCACCCACACCGGTGAGAACAGCTACTTTCCAAAGCCTCTACCCATGTGACGCGTGCACCTTAAGGGCTATGCAGCCTATGCACCTTTCGCAGTTACAACGTCGCCCTTGATCGTGTCGACCGCATGGACCGCAGGATGGAATATGGCTGGATAGCGTGAGGAGCTCATTGCAGTTGCTGCCGCCAGTCTCTCCAACGAGCTGCTGGTGCTGCGTAGTAAAGGCTGAGACTCTGAATTCTGTTGAGATTTTGATTGACTGTCAACTGGGTTATGGTATATAACTAGTTTGGTGCTTGCATCCATGCTATGCTGCTGCTGCTGCTGCCATCCCCCTCTCGCGCAGTCACCACCAAAAACCTTCGCCAACGAGCATGAAGCTCAACTGGGCCCACTGGGTTGGGGGATCCCTTTCATTTCTTTTGACTCCAAACAGTTGCGTCTCGGTCTCAGGCCGCCTTCTCCACGGCACTTTATGCCTTGGCCAGGGCTGGAAGTCTCCAACAGTACTTCGACAGCAGTGTCTCCTGCGTTGACGCAATGAGTTTGGTGCGGTTTGAGGTGCATAGAAATGAGTACTGATATAATACACTGTATATATATAATATATATAAATATATATATATAGGATACACTGTATATATCATGTCATATTTCATGTCTGTCTATCCGTGTAATGTAGAATGCGCTCTCATATGAAATGAGTTTGCTACAGCTTGCCCTCTCAATTCTCGTTTTTTAACTTAGGGTGACATACAGTAGTGATGCCGCATGAGGGGAAGTGAATCAGTGACACGTGTTTGTACATTTGGCCGCGGTTGTGCGGCAACGCCCTGGTATTTTCAACCCTTAATTGAAATTGAAAAGGCTTTGCTACGGAGAGATCCGGAGAGAGCACACCAGGAGCTTCGCATGTGCAAGGGATTCACTGCTGAAATCATATTCCTGGAACCACTGGGACCCACACCTCGCAACGGACAGGTGCGAGCGCCTCCTGAGATCCATGGGATCCTCCCGTGCCGCGCGGTTGCATGATCAACGATGCTGCGCCGCTGCGCCCTTTTGATGTTAAGATGGCAGGAGTAGGTGCTTGTAATTAACTATGTACTTGTCTTTTTCCCTCAAGACTCGTCAAAAGATGGAACCAGATTTCCACCCCAGAGTAATAATAATGATCATTATATACATAGTTTTTTAATAGTTGCCGATTCGCCTTGATTCCAGCTGAGGTGTCCCCTGACTCTGCATGTGTGGATTCCAAATTCCGGTTGGACTTGGGCTTGAGCATATCTAAGTACTTGCTCAAGCTGGGTTGATATGCTTTTCAGCCCTTTTGCTACAAAAACTGCCGTTTCTGGATGCATACATTACATGCATATGTCATATGTATGCATATCATATACAGTATCAATATTACAATCGATTTTTAGGGGCTGTGCTATCTTCAAGCGAGCTGCGCTGAAGGCTTCAATTCCGTGATTCATGCCTGTGCTGCAGCTGGGGAGTCGGGTCCTCATCGGTGGGATCCGTTGCTTGTGGAATTGCTGCCCATTTTTGGCACGCACATCTTTGGTGTGTTGGTTGACAATTTTGCAAGAATCGCCTTAAGCATCAATGGTATTGGGCGACTGGGTGACGTGTGCATTTTTATCTCCCACGCACTCTGCGGACAGTAGGAGCCCGATGGAGCCCAGGTTTGGGGGGGCCCACAGACAATGGAATTTCATGGAAATTCTCCACCACGTACAGGGACCCATTTTGCTTCAACGGCATTCAACGCCCATGTCGTTTGATACGACGGAGACCTCTCTTCCTTGCCAAGCGATGGTCCCCATGAGGCCGGAGCGTGCCAAGTATTGGTTGGATCAGGCGCACAGATCCAGCATGCCTCAGGTGAAGACGCTTGGAGGTGGTAGACGGACCTTGGACACTTGGTGTTTCGGGGAAGAGCCACCTTTACGATGCACAGGTATACAAATCTGCGCACATATTTATATATACAGAGAGAGAAAGAGAGAGTGCAGTTCGTAGTGCCTTTCACCACATCAGGAATTAGCTATATAATTAGCACCAGTGCGACTGGATTGCGGCTTCAGGCAGAGGCTTCAAGTTCTCATTCTCCCACGGACATCGCCAGAGCCTGAGGAAGGAACAGCACAGCCTGAGTTGCAGATGGCTGGCAAGAGATCCCAAGATCATGGCCATTGAACTGGGACGCTACTAGTAGCTTCTGGCATTCCTACTAGGAACAAGAAGCTACTAGTTACTACTTGGAGGCCAGGGCCATCGCTATTAGGTTGGCGGCCATCGCTATTAGGTTGGTGGCCATCGCTATTAGGTTGGAGGCCATCGCTAGTAGGTTGGAGGCCACTACTACTAGGAGCAAGAAGCTACTGGTAGCTATTTGGCTGCTAGTAGGAACGGCAGAAAGAGTTGCAGATGGCTGGGCAGAGATCCCAAGATCATGGCCAGCCAGTATGTATTTGCCTCCCGACTGGGATTCGGATCATTGCCATTGAGGCTTGCTATGTGGGCACCTGAGCTGAAGATAGTCTTATTGTGAGCGAGGAATCCGTGTTGTTGAAAGCTGAGAGGAGGCGTTGAACATGCTCAGCTCCCCTTGGATCTGTGTCCAGGTAACCAGAGCATTTCGTGAGACGACGTCACCTTGACAAGTTTATGTATTCTTATGATGTACTGAAATGCAGAGCATTGGCTTTGCCGACTAGTTGCTTTACTAGAGTCGCATGGGCGAGGGATGTGGTTCCTGACTTTGGCACACCTGATTCAGATGACCACAGCAGCGCTTTGGAGCTTGTGTGTGCGTGCATGTGGGATGAAAACAGAATGACGTACAAAGAGAGGACGCTAGATTGGTGATTGAGCTCTCTGGGCATGGTTCAGTTCTTTAATCCCCACCCTTGGCGAATGGTGGAACTTCATTTTGACAAGCTGCTTGAGGCAGCTGTGCTCAATGCACAGGCACGAGCAGCTTGTTCAGATGAGGCAGAGGCGCAGAGGGCAGTCACCAGGAGCCCAAGATGCTGAACATGTTTTATGCCATTGGAGAAACACAGCTTACATCAACTTACAACTTCTCCACTTTGTTGGGCGTTGTCTCCTGTTGGGTTGCGGTTTTGGGGCCAGATCTACGGTCATCTACGGTCATCTACGGTCGCTTCATTCGTCGAAGCAGTGCATTCGCGTGCCGCTTTCGGCGGGCAGGGAGTCCCGCGTGCTTTTTGGAGCTTTTGGTACTTTGGGGATAGTTATGGCTAACCTGCAAACGCTGTTGGACCCAGGCCAACCATGTTGGACCCAGGCCGCTTGACAGACAGCTTGACATGGCTTGACAGCACGCATGCAAATGTGAATGCGAAAGCTGCTCAAGTCGCGTGCGTATCAGTGGACATATATAATATAGTCAATCAGTTTGGCACTTTCTGCCCGTTTGAACACTGCACGCGTAGTCTATTCCTATTGTCATGTATTGTCCACTGTGTCTTGACCCATTTGTCATAACTTATAGTAGTTCCCCGCGAGTGTCGCCTCCACGTCAAGGCGGAGACACGTGGCTGTTGTGCTAATGACTGGACACGGGAGACGAAGGGTGTTGGAATCGAGCGATTTCGGGCGCGGAAGTCCGCCAGGCAGGAAATCCTGTGTCCTTCTGCAGGTGTAATTATGCTGAAGCCACTGAAGTCTCAATTCAGGAGCTGCAGTACAAGCATGTTTTCTCACAACACATCCCAACACCTTTCCGCAAATTGAAGGGCTTGAGAGGAGAAACCTACGTTGACGACAGTACAAAACCATATTCTTTGAAAATTAATTTGAAATTCGAGACTCTCATGGACCCTCCATTTTTGAGGCACCAGGTTTGGTAGAGCCTTGTTCCTGTCCACGGCATCATGGCCACACACACTCAGCCATGTGGCAAGGCCATGGCTGTTTCAGAGGAGTGGCGCCAGCAATGGATTGAGGCGTGGCGCCATCCCAGTGATTCCAGTGATGTCCCCAACATTCCCTGGACCAGAAGAACTTCTTTTTGATGGTTTTGTTTGTTTCTTTGCTCTTAATTATTGCCCCTTAGACATTTTTGCAGGGGTCTCCACAGTTGTGAAGGGAGCCCACAATCGATTTATTTATAGATTCTTGAAACATCCCTGTAAGCCGCCCATTAGGGTGGGCCAGTTTGGGATTTGGGACCAATCATGAGATGACTGCTTTCCCACTTTGCTGATTCAAGCCAGCATTTGCATGTACAAACTTGTTTTTGCCTCCAGGTCGAAAACCGAACGTGTGGCCGTGCTAATTTTTACAATCGATACATATTGCACTTTTCCGACCCGGTGCCCAGGCATCTCAATGCTATGTAGACGACGATGATGATGATGATGATGATGATGATGATGATGATGCCCTACACCTCCACTAGGTGCGGGCTTGTGCGGAACCCCGTGCCACATGGTCATCGAGGACTTTGGGACCCACCAGGTCGACGAAGGCCACCTGTACCGGTACTTCATCCGGCCTTCAGGAGGACTCCCTCACGAACATCTCTTCAAGACTGTCCCCGTGGCTGGCACGGTCATTTTGACCGCGGTTCTCTTTGTTCTGGTGAACCTCCTGTTTCTCCTCAGGCACTTTGAGTACAACCAGGACACCTCTTCATCGAGCAAGCAACGTTTCCGATCACAGAGAACCACCTCCCAGGTCCTTGCACCCACAGTTGGAGCTAGCTGGGGTCTCAAGTCCCCAGCCAGGGCTGGCATCCACCTCTACCTTCTTGGTGGCCTTTTTGGGCTCTACCTCGAGGACTACATGACCAAGCTCAATGCCTATGCCATGCCCTGGTGGCCCGAGGGTTCCGGACCAGCCACAAGGTCCGGTGAAGCCTCCATGGTCTTTGCCAATCCGAACTCCTTAACGGCAAAGCCAAGTGGCCTTGGATCCACACACCAACGTCTGGACTTGTACCAGCACTTTCCCAAGAAGAAAGCCTACATTCGTGCTCTCAAGAGGGCCCAACTTCATGGGCACACCTGGTACAAAGGGAAGCTCTACACAGCTCAGATGTTAGGAGTCACACCTCTTCCATGGCAGCCTCCTGAACCTCCCAAGGCTTCCTTGGGGCCCAAGAACACCTCACCACTTGCCAAACTACGGAAGAACCGGCTTCAAGGGCTCAGCTGGAACATTGGCTCCCTGAGTACATACAAATTCGACATCCTCAGGCAATGGATGCATCACCAACAACTTGACATTCTCCAACTTCAAGACACAAGATTCTTTACAGGAGACTGGTCTGACAACTCATTTGCCTACATTCACAATGGGTCTAAAGATCGTGCAGGGGGGCTCCTGACCATCATCCGCAAGGCCTTCTGCCAACCTGAACGGATTTCCTGGCGTGAGGTCACTCCAGGACGGCTTCTTCACGCTCGGCTGTACTTTGACTCCACGGTGGTGCGCCTGCCAGCCATACTACACAACTGAGCTGACTGAGGACCACCCGTGTCCATGCCTACGCCAATTTGGCATTTTGCATCTGGCGTTGAGAAGAAGTCAGCCAGCTCATGCCAGGTCTAACTTGGCACGCTTGCTAGACATGACCTTCAGCTAAATGCTGAGGCTGGTCTGTCCCCACGGGGACCAGGCGGATCAATGGATCCACGCCGTCATCACTCGATGAGCGTAGAGAAAGAAAGAAAGAAAGATGATGATGATGATGGTGATGATGAGGATGCTGCTGGTGACGATGACGATGACGATGATGATCATGCATCAGAGATGAGAGGCCTCTGGCATCAACTGGGACACTCCGGACACTGGCAACTCGTGCTCGGAAGGATGAGACCGGCTACGGCCCAAAGGGCTCCGCTGGCTCAGCATCTGGGCAAGATGTTGGAGACTCTCTGATGGAGGCCTCCTCCCCTCCGCTGAGGACTCTACAAAACCCAGCTGCCACCTGCTACATGAACTCGGTGGTAACTGGGCTTGCCTGGAGCGCTCTGCAAGCTGATGGACTGAGGGAGGACCAATAATCCAACTTTCCTGGGGTGTTTGAGGAACTTGCAGACGTGTCCGAAGGGCGATCACTGCTTTTGTGGTCTGATGGGCAGTGGACCACTTGTTTTGCAAGCTGGCCGGAACCTTTTAGACAACATGATGTGGTTGACTTTGCGCATCATCTTTTTCAACAGCTGAACCCCTTTTTTCATAGCTGTCGTTGGGAATCCCGGCTAGAGCAAGATGACCTTCTCAAAGTTGTGGACCACAATGCCCAGGGGTGCCCTTTGCACTTGTACATCTGCAGCGACCAAAAGAGCATGCCGCCCACGGCTTTGCAAGGCCTTGTATCCACCTGGAGCATGGCCTCCTTTGGACTTCATGCACTCACTGAGCCCGCAGATGTCACATGCCTTCACATCGGCCGCTTTGACTCTTGAGGGCGAAAAGCCACGTTCGACCCACCTGGGACAGCAAGGTCTGGCTACTCTTCTTCTTGGCCAGCCAGGTGGAGGTGGACTACATACCCTACCAGGTCCTCGGGGTTTCTCCTTTCATTAATCTGAGGCCTCTAGCGGACACTACTGCGCAGCCATCAAGGAGGGTGACCACTCGTGGATCTATGACGACGACAAGGAGCCGGTGAAGTTCTCCTCCCTTCCATTCATGGTTCAGGAGAATCGCTGTCTCCTCTGGCTGAACTGCATGCCACATGGGGGCGCTGAAGGGGTCTCCTTGCTGGCAGACGACTCACCCATTCTCACGGACCAGGGAAAGGTGGACAACATCATTCATGATCCTTCGATCAATGACAACTGGCATGCTCAATGGCTTCCTGCCATCGATCTCCTCGACACCAGCATCTTGGTGGATCATCCCGCCTCTGTCGCCGGCTGGTCAAGAAGTGCATCATGTGTGGAAGGTGGCCACGGGACCTCAACACTCACCTGGAGGCGGCACACCGCTCTGGTGGAACCGTTCTGGCCAATTGGCTGAGAAGTGTGCAGTGAGCTTCATTCCCAAAGCGCATCCCACTAGATGGTGCGCCTGCCAACCTTTTCAAGCAATTGGCATGAATGAGGGCCACAGCTGTCCATGTTTGAGGCAGTTTTCAATTTTGCATCTTGGCTTGCGGTCTCGCCAACCACAGCAAGCGGCCACAACACTTGCCCGTTTGCTTGACCGCAACTTCAGCTAGGAGCTGGTTTGAGGCCCTGGCGGACCTACCAAAGGTCCACGCCGTCATCGACTTAATGAGCGCAAGAAAGAAAGACGATGATGATGATGATAATGATGATGATGACATGTTGATGAGTTGTTGATGTGACGACAGAAGATACAGTACTACAGGAGGTTCGGGGGGGTTGGGGGGGGGGCTGGTTTCGTTCGTGTGATCAGTAGAACATGATGGTGATGAGTTGTTGATGTGACAACAGAAGACACTACGGGAGGTTCGGGGGGGGTTTTGGGGGTGAGCGGGTTTCGTTCGTGTGATCAGTAGAACACGATGGTGATGAGTTGGAAATCTTGCGGCATTGAGCGAATCATGCACATGAGTTCGAAGGAGCTGATGTCAGACTGCGGCAAACAGCTGTCCGAGGGGATATGTGAAAAGGCCGCCAACAAACGCGCGAGTTTTGCGTTGCATTTTCTATGGGTGTTTACAGTTTTCTCCAAATAACACTCACGAAACGACGCCATCTATAGAAAGTAGGTAGACTTCAATGCTATTCACGGGGTTTTGTACGGCACCCAGCCGGGCTTCATGCATAGATGGCAAAAAGGACATACTGTAAAGCATGTGTGTTTTTAGAGGTTTTGTTGGCTTGGGAGACTCGCTCATGTTTGCAAATGCACACAACTACACGTTCTGTTTCCGACCCGGAGGGTTGTTTTTGTTGCTGGTTGGTCAAGCTGCATGTTGCTCCTTCTGTTTGTTTTAGACCTTCCTGCGAGTTTCTCAGCCGGACTGACAGCTTGAGCCTTCTGACAGCGGAGCGCCGACGAAAACTTGAGAAACGCAAATTACTGACGCTCAAAGGAACCATACAATATACTCACTTAGCAGTTTTCCCCTTACTCAGTCTGGGCATTTCATGCATTTCTATCCTGATGACCTGATGGCCAGGCTGTGTCCAAGATCCGTAGCAACGTGTCGTATGAAGAGAGTGCCCTGGCGACAACGCAGCATGATTCTGTCACTTTGTTATAAAGAAATGCTATTGGTTTATGTTTATTCATTCTTTGCATTCATTTTGCTGCATGTCAGATGCAGCAACTGCCGGGCAGACTGGCGAGCCCTGGGGATCAGGAGGGTGTGTGTATGTGTAGTCCACCACATGTGCCAGCCCTCACAGCTTAGCAGTTGCTCACTCAAGTCGTAGCGCCTGCGGCAAGCAATGCACAGTAGCCGTTGGCTCTGATCGACCGAAGGAGATGACAACAGTTATGAACAAGTCAATCACCGTCAACGCTGCCAAAAATTCACGCTTAATATAGATGTCACACTTGCTCAAAAAACAAGCGCGCGTAGAAACCACACCAGCTCATCTACGAACTTGGAGCCGAGACTGAGAGGCACAAAAGCGGAGCCATTACATTGATTCCATTATACATGTTCTTTCAGAGTCACTCGTGGCCTGAACGTGCACGGTCCTGGTGCAGTCCCCAACATGGATATTGACATCCCGGCTGCTTGGCCGCACAGTCGTCCCAAGCATGCACCTCCTAGACCCCAACAAAAATTCCTTCAAAAGGCCCCTCGATCCAGCGAGATTGGGTACTTCAGAGCTTTCAAAGGAGACCATTTGGGAGGAAAAATCAACATGGATGAAATCGGTGACATCACTCACCTGAATCGGATTGACACTCCAAACGCGTCAGTCACGGTGCGTTCCAAATCTCGGTGCAGCAGATCGAACTTGAGCTCCAAAACTGGATATGGCAAGAGCGATATGGTCGCGTTGGCCCCTCAGAACATTCATTTCCAGGCGGAGACTGGAAGACATGAAATTGTGGGGATGATATGGGATGATTACAATGCAACATTATAACCTGACGGGTTTTGCTGAAGGTAGGCCTTGTAGGCCTTAGGCCAAGAGAATTCTGTGAAGCCATGTGCTTTTGCCCAACAATGGGCAGGAGGTCGTGATTTGGCTCGAAGAGCTAGGTAATTAGCTACTTCTGGATGTTTGAGCCAAGCTGCACAATTCTGCCGACATATCACATATGTTCACATATATATATATAATATTAATATGATTGATCGCAGACCCGGAGGAAGACCTCACTTGACACAGATTGGTGCCAGCTAAGGAGATCACCAACATTGAAGATGTTTTACCCTCCAGCTCAATCCATGAAGTGCGTATGGCCACCAGCTGGCTATTAAGATTGGGTGCCAAATCTCGGGAGCCTGCCATCATCATTGGCGAGCTGAAATTTACCTACGGGCATTGCTTCATTGTGCACCTCAGCCCAATATCTGATTGTCATTCATTGTGTAGCACTTTTTGACGCGAGCTGAGTGAAGCTAAGAGTAACTATACTTACTTTGTCGAATTTGGACAGTTGCTTCATAGAATCGTCCATCATGTTTCTACGGAGGCCGGGCCGCTCAGGTTTTGTGGGCTTTTTGTGCTCTCGACAACTTTGTTCATGCTCCTTCGCGCAGATGCCGACCAGCGGAAGATTAAGAGCGCCGCCATTAGGCCCTGATCATTTTCTTCGGTCCAGTGTTGGGTGTGGCTCAAAGATGTGGAGACCCCCAACAGCCCTGCTGAGGAAACATGTTGAAATCACCTCATTGGATCTCATTGGCTCTTGATCCCAGACCCGAAATCCCGGACCCGCGCTACAACAAGACACATTGCTCGGCGCTTGCACGCCAGAGATGTCAGAGATGTCAGGCACATTCTCATGAAGTCCGAGACAGATATCCTGTTGGCCAAAGATCGCCTCGAAAAGGGCGACGCTCGAGCTGCAAGTGACCTGGGTGACGGTGACGTCGACGGCATGCTTGGACCCAAAGACCCACAGAGCTTGAATCTCCATAAACTTGTGTTTTTTTTCCAAGCCAGAAAGAGCTAAGGCTTAAAGGCTTAAAGAATGTGAAGGCTTTTTTGCTTCCCCCTTCCAGATTTACAGGTTGATTTGGCTGCCTCATTGGTTTTAATGCCCAGGTACCGCAATACTGTATTTGGTCTAATCCAGCCCTCAGATCTGCGGATTATCGATGTCGGAAATCCTGTGAGTTTGAGCATCTACACCAGGCTCTATGAACTAAGGCTACTAAAGGTTCCATGCCAACAACCTCAGATGCATCCCACGACCATTCCAGGTTCTTGCATAGCTACATGCTGTATTTGCAATGTATGTAATTAAGTAGTTATGTAAGTCTAATGCGCAGAGCTACAGAGCATGCTCAAGATCAACAACATATGCTCCACTCATTGATACATTTTTCTTTGGTGTTTGGAAGTGACACTTGCCACTCTTAGCCAGGAGACCTTTGCTCGCGTGGCAAAGGCTTTAAGCAAATGCCCTTCTGCTGCAGATGGTGGTGATCTTGGTGTTTTTCAACCAGGAGATGGTTGGCTTTGTTCCGATGCGGAGCAGTGCGTACACATGTGTGCTTCAAACCTTGTTGCATGCATGAATCGATCTGCAATATATCTCCATATAAAAAAATCATCGTGATTATGTTTGCAGATTCGCCACTTGTATTAACATTTGCAGATTGCTTATCTCTAGCATGCACCAAAGGTATGTGTGTGTGCCATTTTTGCACCGACATATTGTCGTAGGAGAGCTTGATCCTGCTTTTGACAGAGCCTTGGCTGCAGATCACCACTCAAGTGACAAGAGCGGAGACACTGCCTGAGATTTTGCATTTGTGTGAAATGGTGAGAGCGAGCTGGTCGATGCAGCCGTGAAAACCTGAGTGAAATCCAGGGTTTGTGCCGACATCACAGGGATACAACTGAGGAGTTGCTTTCAACCCCAAGATTCCGATTGGCGAAGTGGTGGGCCCTGCTGCTTGGACCTTCATGTGCAGGGAGGAGTTGGCAAACCTACAAGAAGGATCAAAAAGGACACACATCCTGGCAACCTGCCTATGTCCTAAGGAAACAAGACCTAGAGCCTAGTGCGGTATACCTGTTTGTATCCGTGTGTTTTGTTGCAACGACGCCGCAATTTTTGCTTGGCGGCACTGTTCTGCGCACTATGCGTATTAGGCCCTAAAATTAGAAGCCATAATGGAGAGGTTTGCGCGTGAAGCGAAGAAACATGGCCTCACGTTTATCCTTGTTCCTTTCCACGCTGGTATTTTGCTCATGTTGTTTGCCAAGTCTTTCTGGTCAGGAGGCCTAGGCCTCCCATCTCGTCCAAGGTGAAAACTCGATTTGGATACCATTTGTTCAAGCTGGAATATCGGACGGGGTTTGACGTTGACAAGAGCAATGAGAACAAGAAGGACAATTAACATCACATCGTTGAGAGGAGCGCACCGGAGGCATCACTCGTGAAGCCATGGCCAGAGTTTGTGGTCGGCAGACCTTCATGGTTGAAACATGTTGAAACGTCGACCCGGTCGCTGGGTGTGTTCGATGTAAGTGATGGTCCTGGTAGACGGCTCCATTTGTTCGGCTCAGCCGGCGCACATGCGAGTCTCATAGGCTGCTCATGACGAGTCTCGTATGTATGCTACCGTATATGACCGTACCAAACATGAAGACGGCGATTTCATTTCCACCGAAACACGGTGCAGCCCTCTATTGCTACAGGAGTTGTGGTTGCACTGACTGCGGTTTAGAATGCCGGCTGTGAGTGCTGAGTTGGCTGAATGGGGCCACTTAGAATTTGTTTTTTGCTGTAGATCTGATTCGGGGCGCTCGAATATGTGGCCAGGTGCAGAGATCCGCCAACCCTGATTCAATCCAAGACACCAAATCATTCCCCAAGTTTAAGACATTGAGCGCAGCCAAGTCTCCCCACGCACTTGCCTGGTTCCTGCACCAGATGGCCCAAACAGAGACCTCGTGCGTGGTGGATATCAACATCCACAGTAGAAGGTGCGTTTTCAAGGAATTCTGGGCAATCTCCAGGCACTTCAGCCTGTGTTTGTGGTAAGTTCTTTGTCAACAGCCGAAAGCTTGCCATCAGCATGTCAACATGTCAACGCGGAGCAGAATGTTGTTGCCACTATATAGTTTGATGAATTCCATGTGGGCAAGAGTCAGACAGTTTCAACACCATCCCACACCATCCCAATCTCTCACGGTGTTTTTCGAAGAGCTGGAGGCAAAGTTGCATGAGAAAGACTGCATGGTGCAAGGAACCAGCGGCATGAGAAGCTGCAGATGTCTTGAACTTGCCGCATGGAGATGAAAAGGTCCCCGTTGAAAGCTATCTCACCCTTTGATGTGCATTTGAGCAGCAATCAGGCAGGAGGCCGGTGTTGTTTGGGACCAACCCGACCTACAACCCCGTCATAGCCAGTTCTGTGTTCTAAGCCAAGCTGTCCACAACCTTGCACATACTTCTACAAAGGACCCATTTCCATGTTCCAACTGTCACATTGAGAACATGATTTCCAATCACCACCTTATTTAACCTCCCTTCGTCTACCCATGTTTGCCCAGGTGCCCAGCAACTCCGGAGCCTGCAGCAGACCGGGCTATTGAAGCTAACGGAGCCCTGGACAGACATGGCGTTTTTCGCACTCCAAACAGTTGTCGTGAAAAAACTGCGGAGGCTGCGGAGCGCCAAGAACATCAGACATGACGTTACTGTACATGTATATATATACACTGTAATTCTGCTGGGCACACTTCTGAACTGAATCTTTTGAAGGCTGCTTTTTTCGGAGCCCTCCAGGGTTGGAGACGTGCATTTGTTCTTCTTTAACATCGATTGGCGTCTTCGGAAGCCAGGCCTCGCCGGGGAGTTGAGTCGAAACAACTCGCCCCGCCGAGGACCTGAAGTACAACCCTGGCAAGTTCTTTGAGGTGTGAAGCTGCATATGAGATGCAATTGAAGTTTGTGCTATACTGTGTTCTGTTTCTAGAAATTGGAAGTTTGTGCAATTGAGAGGATGATGGGCTGTAATTAGACTGGGCTGTAGATGTTCGCTGACATCCCCTGACCCTTTATATATATATATATAAGTCACTTTGGTGAAGAGTCTTCGTCAGAACACGGCTGAAGGAAAGTGAGATAGGACCTGTGAAACGATGGGTGGGGAACAAATAAACTATGCCATCAGGAAAGAGCCTATATGCCAGACCTCCTATCCCATCAGGTCAAAACATACAGAAATGACTCTGGCGTCGTAAAAAGATTGCATGGTTTGAAGAGGCAATTGACATTAAAACACACATGACCTAGGAGATTGCCACCAACATAGCACGTGGCAACTAGGGATAAGATAGGAAAGCCATTGCTTGAATTCCAGGGCAACAGCGCAGTTTTTCCTGTGGGAAAACATAGAAAACTAAAGGAGCGCACCTAAGCCATGGAAGCACAATATTCTATTCTTTTTTGAGTTATGTACTTGCAAAACGTCCACGCCTCCTACGTCATCCTACTGTGTCCTACGTTTGGCTACCTTGTCTACTGACTGACCACAACTCCTATGTCACTAGCCCAGCAAATGCCTATGTCATTAGCCCGCAGTATATTTAAATAAACGTTTGCCATGCCCTGATGATTCACATGTCCATACATGAACGGGCACATGAACTTTTTTTGTCCGCCTGCCATTCCCCGCTTGAGGCTCGCATGACCCATGTATTTGTATGAAGGCTCACCCTTTGACTATATACGTGTTTTGAGCCACACCTATTTGTTTTATCGAGTGGCGCAGTTGCAGATCATCGATGCCTGTGGCCGACGCTTGGAGACTTCACAGACTGCAAAGCAATGCAACATATCAGCAATGCTCCATGTTTCATGCGCCTGGTCACCCTGCTAGCCACGGCCGGCACAACAACTACATGCCTCAAATTCGACCAAACTCCAGCATGGCCGCCCATTCGAAGGACGAAGTGATGGAAAGATACGGAACATCCCACAACTCCTTCAGGCCCCTTGCACCTGTGTTGTCGCCAGGCTCATCGTCTCCTTGCGCGGCATGCGCCCAACTTGGGCCCCGGCTTTTGGATCCGCTTCACGGTGGGGACGACGGATCGGGGCGTGAGTCATGGGGCCGATGCCACACTCGAAAAACACCGGCGAAGGAACTCCGTGACAATTCGAAGGAATGACACTCTGACTCACGACCACATGATATTGGAAAATGGTTTGATGGCCTTATGACTTTCCTTGACAAACAGGGGTCCATGTGATGTGTTTGTCAGAGTGTAATTAGATTTTTTATGATTTTTATATAGTTATATAGATTAGTCAGATGGCTTCTTACATATTGATTATAGTGGCAAGTTGCCTATTAGGCATAGATGGAAGCATGCTATGGCTATAGCATGCTAATCTTCTGCACGACTGGCCTGCCGGGATCAACATCTGCTCTATGAGTCTCTGTGCGAGTCGGGCGGGTGGGTGATTGATCTGAATGTTGGCAGAACTTTGAAGTGCCAAGTGTAACTGGAATTAAATGGACAGGTTCATATTGATCCAAGGATTCCAAGGAACCTGTGTGGCTCCATGTTGCAGCTGCATGTGCAGGTGCACTACAATCTTTTCGCTGGGTCAGTCCTAGCTGTGGGCAACGAGCAGCAGGTGAAGCAACTGGAGGAGATCCAGCAGAAGGCTTTGGACACGAAGCTTTGATCATGCGCAAGGTGCTAGATGATGCTAGATTGATGTGATGGATTTTGTGGTCGGGCTTGATTCCATGCCATACCTGTGTATTTGGGCGTCCGGCTGCAGGGCTTTTTGGGCTGCTTCGGCTTGACTGAGAAGCTGGCAGGTGTTAATAGTGCCTCGTCAAAACGTCCTGGCGGTGAGCATAGCCATGGCGTAGTGTTAAGGACAGAGTGGCAATTCTGCTGTAGACATGTTTGGATCTCCCGACGCAGCACTGCACGCACCTGACATCAATCCTCGGAAGTTTGAGGTGGCGGTGTGGTGAACACTATCGCGGAGTGGGATGTGCCCTGCCAACGGAGGGGCAAATTGGCATCCATCGGCCCTCACATCCTTTGTACAGGTTTGAATTTGAATAGATGAAGCAGCGAAGCCCTTGCAACATTTCCATCAAGAAACGCCTTTGATACTGGGCACAATGGGCGATACAACCACAAAGATGCAAACAAAGAATGCTTGGTACTACTTGCTTTGACAACCTCCCAGTCTGATCTCTTTCCATGGTTTAATCATGTTTAATCCAGTAATTAGTGTCTCGAAGGTTTGGGGCAATCCATCTTCATTGAGAGGTTCGATACCCTACGACCCCGCGTACAATTGCATCGCTGCATCTTTTAAGTTAGCGATTTGTATTGAGAAGGTCCTCCTCGTGCACCTGTTCTGGACACTTTGTTGACGAGGGGACGTGCCGGAGATGCCATCAAGACTGCCATCAAGTTCAGTGATGTCCACACCAGCCAGCAATCCAAACGCATCCAACACAATAGTATTCAGTATCGAATGACATCAAGAACTCCAAGTCATACAGTGCGCGGGAAGAACCTGTCGTCACCGTCGCCGGACCCGGCGCGCGCGCCTCCGCCACCGGGCACCGCAGAAGCCGAGGACCAAACCCAAGAGTTCGTGATTACATCCCCAGAGGCGGATCCAAGGGGTGCTGGAGATCCAGAAACCACGGGAATGTCTGATGGAATTCCAACAGCGATGGCCTGTGGTTCCTGTAGGCCATCAGGGTTGGAAGATGGTGTTGACGCACTGAATGGTTGTGAGCGTGTGACTTTCCTTCTTAGACAACTTGAGCCGGCTGAAAGTTTCCCGCACGATTCGGTGTGGCGGCGCTGGAGGTGGGCGCGCAGAAGAATTGGATCTCACAGGGCTTGGTGGGTGAGCTGGCAGTGGTAGTGGCAGATCTACGTGTGGCCGGCAAGAGGCAGGTCTCGAACGGACGGACCCCGCCATGCACCGTGGATTTTGATTGCTTTGCCTTTGCCCCTGTGACCAAAGTCCGGCAGTTGCAACATTCAAGCACGAGCAGAAGACCTTGAAACGGTAGCAGATGCTGCTAGCTAGAATATTGGTCTCGGGGCACTTGCTTGGATTGGTAACAGGTAACACCAAACACGCACAAAATTGCCCTGGCATAAAACCAGATATTGCCAGAGAGCGTTTCGGACAAGAAGACTCACCAGGCGCACGAAAATGCGCCCCTCTCACAACCGCCAACCAGACACTGAATGCAAAATATGGCTATCGCCTGCTCCAGAATGCAAAAAAACAAAGTTGTGATGGGGCTCGAGAGCTCACTGCTCCGGGGTTGAGAGACTGATGATTAAAGCCTGGCTCTGACACTTCAGGATTGCTGAAAAGTTGCAAGGTTCCAGTCCAGGTGAAAAGCCCACACCGGAACCTCGGGAAGCCCAGGCGCAAAGTCGCGATCAAAATCTGTTTCCACGGTCAGGGTTCCAGGGTTCCGCAGAATCAAGATTCCAGTGTCCAGGCCAAACTTGCGAGCAGGGATTGCTTCTGAAGGAAGTAAGGCCACCTATATATATATGTAGACATGTTCCACTTCTTTTAAGGTAGAATCAAAGAATCCAATGAACCCGGCACTTTGGAAGGAATGTTGCGTCGCTCAGCCTTTTGTACATGCCCAATGTCCCTAATAAGTTGGGCCACACACGCAATGCGGACCAGGACGGCCCAGAAAGAATGGTGATGGTGATCAGGGCCCAGCGCCAGAATTGCACGGCTCCAGGGTTCCAAGCACCAAGTTGCGACCAAGTTCCGCCGGTTGTGGCGTCAGTGGTGCCCAGAGCCTGGTTGCGAGAGCCTAGGACTCGAAGTAAGCACCCCAAAGCTTTGAGCCGCTTGAATTTGGGGAAACGCGGAAACATCATATAATAATATATTGTAATATATCAATCTAATCTAATCGAATCTAATTAAATCTAATCTAATCTAATCTAATCTATATAATCTAATCGATTCATCCAATCTAATCTAATCCAATCATTTGATCTAATCATCTAATCTAATCTTAACTATCTATCTATTTGTCTATCTATTTATCTATTTATTTGTCTATCTATCCATCTATCTATCTATCTATGTATCTATCTATCTATCTATCTATTTGTGGTAGTGTGTGATTGTGCATGTGTGCGTGCGCGCATGTGTACCATGTCACACGATCTTGAGCTACACCAGTTGATGCCAGTGATATTGTCCGCAGCTCACACAGTCACACAAGCTCTCACACAAGCATATGTATACATATTTTATTAGTTGAGTTGGTGGGGAGGTCTTGCAAATGCGTCCGCAGGTGTGGTGCACATGCCTTCCTCATGGAGCTTCGAGATGCCAAGGGTCCAGTGCCCAACGTGGAGTTTGGAGAGCCTCGCTTCAGTTTCTTGAAGCCCCCCATGTAGGAACCAATTTCCAAGCAGATGGAAATGACGCCCGATGACTTCCAAAACTATATGCTATTGGCTGTTCGTTCACTCCTGTATTTTGGGGTCAAGAAAGTGACATCCAAGACTGAAATGGCTTCTTAAGGCGGTAGCGGGAGCATTTTCCTGCAAGTACCGGCGGCAGGTAGTAGTACAGGCGATCAGGGATGTATAGAAACGATGTAAGATCAGTTGGTCATTGGAGAAGGATTGGGTCGAATTTCAACGGTTCCCAGCTTTGAAGGACCTGAGCCCATGCGTTGGTCGTTTTCTGAAATTGATCTTGTGGTGACTTGTGCGTCGCCTTCTCTGTGGCAAGCCTTGCTGCCCGAAAAAGGACATGGGCCGCAAAACGGTGGGCAATGATCTAGACAATGCCTGGATTGTCCCTTGGCCTTAGGATTCTTGCGCACTTGCCTACACGGCTCTAGCATCAATTCTATATGTCCGTGTCTGTCAGTACGGCGCGGATTCCTTTTCGAGGCGACCTCGGTTGCTTTCCATTCCTGGCGATGTGTGCCATGAGGCTTTTCATGGAGCCAGGGTTCCTCGACACACCTTGCTCAGCCGCTATGGAGATGTGCAGCCTGGCAATGGCGGCACATATGTGAGCAAGGTCAAGGCAGACAAGTTCGGCGGAGCTCATTTGGGCGGCAGCACCTCCAACACGAACGATATTACCATATCATATAATATATACATATATTAATTATTACCCCCAACGACTGTAGACAGATGAACTACTGTATGGTTTTTGGGTTGCAGATTGTCAAGGCCCAACTCAACGATCTCAAGATTTCTCAAGATCGATAAAGCCCGGAGAAGGGCCCCAGGTACTGCCACTCTGTGTGGGCACAGAGGTATCAGGCAGCTCTTGAGTCTCAAAGCTCGTTGCTGGAGACATCAGACATCATCAGACCCTGTTCATGGGAGTCACGGAGTCAATTCAAACCTTTGGAATATGTAGTCGGGGTAATGCAAGTCGACCGAGTTTGTTCCACTGTTCCATTGGTCAAAGCAATCACCCTTCTAGCCGGTTCCAGATCACACATCCAAGGAGACTCATATGTTATGGTGCATGAAACTCTGAAGCTTTGGAATAGCTCCCCCGTGTCATGCCAAGCATAGGTATACCTGTAGATGATCCGCATTGGGATTAAGCACCATCGGACATCGAACACTTATGACGTAAAGGCTAACTGCGCCCGATTGCATACAACAATGCAACGAACACCCTCATGGATAGAGCAGAGAATCCCTTGTGAAAGGCACCTGGGAATCGGATGCCATGGACTTCGCGTGTTTTTTCCATGACATTTCCACCTCGTTGAAAGGCTCACAACCCGATCTCATTTCGAAACACTAAAAAAAAAGTTTTTTGCACGACAAGCACCGACCCTCTTTTCACGGCAGAAGCCTCGATGAAGCCCGCGTCCAGGGCCTCACCAACATGGCCATGATCGGTCAACGACTCTTCAGTGGCCGCGTCGCGGTGGCCTGGGCGGCGCTCACCTTCACCCGAAAGCCTCGTGGTTGGACGAGGTTGCTGGAGTTGGATGGGTCAGGCACCCGAAGAACCATTTAAAGAAGAGAGGAAGGGGTTCCCCAAGAAATATGTGTAATTAGAGTAGTGCAGTAGTGCAGACCTTTTCGTTGCTTGTTGAAGCAGTAAACTCTTTTGTCCGACATGGCAAGCTTGGCACAGACTCCCACATGGCCAATGCCATGTGGTGGTCTCAGCATCACCTATCCACGACTTCCTTGGCACCAATTCGACAACTCAGCATGGTGGACCATGGCTGTCTTTCCGATCATGACGAACCCTCACACTGACATGCAACACACACGCACGCGCACAGGCACAAATATTATATATGTATATTTAGCATTTACATGTACACACGGATTCTCATCAGGCTCTCAACCACGGTTTGCTGGTCTTGACCATTACATGCATGTTGAAGAGTTTATCTTCCGTGCGGAGTGAGTTGGGGTCACCATTGTTTTGTACCAGAGACTGCACGCTTGGCCGATGCGCTCTACTCACAGAAGACTTTATTCGTTCTACTCACATTGGAAGCAGCCTAAGTCCATTGCTCAGCTCAGTGTCAGGTGTCATAGTCTTGTGCATACATGTCCTGCTAAGGTTGTTCGAGATGACTCGGGCATATTCTGATCACAAGAAGTGTGCAGGACTCAGTCAAACCAATTTTACACCCGGGACCAGTGTGAAGATGATGAGGGTCTGAAATGACACATTTCCCGAATAGATAGCGGTTTTTCCCACCATTATCCAATGGGAAGGCCCAACAAACGAACGTGAATATATGCTTGAATCTTGCTTTGACCTGCCACTTGTCTTCAGAGGTAGCAGGTTGGACTGCAAATCAGAAGTTCCAGTGGTGTCTATCGCAGTGCTAGACTGTTTCAGTTGCCGGAGTTCTGGACTGCACTTCCACCAAAGAGACCCACCGAAGACCACACTAGCCAGTCTTCCTGAGGTTGGATCCCCAAGAATTCCACCTTGACTGAAGTGCCGCAGCTTCAACATCTGCCAGGGCCCCATCTCGATGGTGGGATCTGAAGGGATCCGAAGGATTGGTCCAAGAGCAGGGGAAGGTTGGAATGAACAAACCCTTTGCTTCAGTGGCCAACAGCACTTGGCCCCGTCGTGAATTTGGCAGACCGTAGGTATCTTCGTGCGGATGAGACCCTGAAGAAGCTGGAGAACTTCGTTGGCAGCTGTGAGAAGCAGCTGAGTGATTGCCCCTTGGCACTGCAACTGGGAGGGTTTGCGACGTGATTCGGTGACACTCATTTATCGGGGACGGGTTAGTGAGTATTAGTGGACACCAAAAACATGGAAATAGTAGCAGCGCTTCAGAATTCTTACGAATACAGCATTGCTGAAGCAATTCTTACGGTACCGAAGGAATTCCCGTATCAAGTCATACTCAACTGTTCTTGCCCGTATACTGACTTAAATGTCCATGTATGGGGCCTTGAGCTGAGAAAGGCACAGAAGTGGTGCTGCAAGAAAAGGCGTGCTGCTGCGTAAATTGCCGTACTGCTGCGTAAAGTTCCTCTAAAACGCCAAATTCTTAAGAAATCTTAAGAATTTCAGACTGCTGTAGCAATTCCTGCGGATCAGGGGGCTCAGGTATATACAGTACTGTTATTTTGTTGTCTCAAGGCTTTGCATCCGCGTTTCGTTGTCTCATGGCATGTGGGTATGGATCAAAACGGTTGGTCCCTCGCACATGAACTCCGTTTACGACCAGTCCCCGTCTCGACCGATGCGGTGAAACACTCCACGCCCCACGGCCCCACTCTCCGCCCCGTCGAGGTTTGCAGAAGGACGAGATCCCGCCGATGGCCCTCCAGGAAGCCATTGCCTCCGCCAAGATCCTTGCGAGCGATGCTGGGACTGGCGAACGCCGAAGAGAGAGAACGGGGAGGAAATAGAGAAGGCCGAATTGCTCATTCTGAATTGCTCCAGCCGAATGAAAAATATCATTGAGGTGAGTCTCCATAATTCTCCATAGGCAAAAAGTAAAACCACAAGAAACAGGACCTGATGCTAGGTGTAGAAGTGGAACAACCAATGATTTTCATTCGGCTGGAGCAATTCAGAATGAGCAATTCGGCCTGTCGAAGTTTTGGAGCAATTCCCTCATAAACATTGAGACACTTACTTGTTGAGCGGCGGAAGACATGTACTGACCGCCAGCAAGCAACCCGGCCCTACAAATCCACAACGGTGATAGCCATATAGTTGAATGCTCGAAAGAGACAGGTTTATTACGGATTAACTTATATATGAATGTGGTGTGACTTTGCCCCACTCTGAGATGCTCTGAGGAAACGAGCATCGATCTTTGCTTCCGCCTGAAGCAAGATGTGGGCTCTCATGCGCTCATGGGCGACACAGGATTCGAGCAGATGGACTTCCTACAGGCAGATCGTGGCGTCGCATCCCTGTACCGAACTGATCGGATCTTACCGGCGTATTGGCGTAGAACAATTCGCACACAAGCTTTGCATGCCAGCAGGGTCGATCCACAGGGAAATTCGGACTATGCTCCCGCCAGCGGCCAGGCCTGCAAGTTCGCCGAGGGTGACTCCAGGATATTGATGCGCCTTGGCTGCCTCCCGCCTCCTGGTGGCGGCAGTGGTGGTGGTTGGTTGAAGATGGCAAAATTGTGCGTCTCGCATTTCCTTGAGAAGGCATTCATTGGGCAAGAAGATGTACATACGGCACATATTCCAATCAGTTTCAATTATATATATTTACACTCTGACTCACTAACATGGAAGTAGAAAATGGTCCCTTGGAAGACTACTTTACGAACAAGGGCTTTTCCACTTCCATGTTAGTGAGCCGGAGTCCAGCCGGAATGTATACAATTTATTCAGTTCACACACCTCCCAGCTCTCCAAAAGGACCATGGGCATTTTCGACCCTACTACACCTCCCGCGGGCACTCCTCCATTTTTCACTGCAATGACCAAGCAATGCTCATCATGGGTGAATTTTCATTAAGATAAGATATCAATAATATAGACAATTCACCATTAATAATAAACATGCACTTTTAAACCGCAAGGCTAGGGTTTTTAAAGCTTCAAATTTGCCTTTGAAGTCCGATCTCGTTGTTTCGAGCCCTAGGGTCCCCCACCAAAGGGTTTCGGGGAGCGAATCATTGGTTCGGGCCAGTTCGGACGACAGACTAGCACATGGGAAGGGGTTCAACGTTTCGCTTGATGGACCACGTAGAGTTTGTGATGAGGTTGTGTGCGACTTATGGATGCATAATATGGCATTTCATCCTTTGTGCAGGGGGGTATTTTCGCCACCTTAGGCAGAAGTTGGCTCGAGACCGCGTGCGTATTTCATCTCCTTTGGGATCCAGCTTCTTGGACTGACCTGGAGGAGATGTCACCGCCAGTGCGACATACTTGCCAGTTCAACAAGGACGGATAATTGTCTTATGATGGGATGTCGCACTTTGGTGCTCATAGTCCCAAGTGTGTGAGATGCCCATCCCTACACAACCACTTGGGGGTCATTGTGACATATTGTGACGACCAGTGTGTAACCAGTCTGGTGCAACAACCAATGACATTGGAGGGGTAACAATCACATATGTATTTTTCCGATACATACATATACTGTGTGTATATATATAGATGTATATGTTATATATGCATATATATATATATGCACATTTGTGACTGGGATTCTCCCAGATCACAAAGGTAGCTTCTCAGCCCTCA